ATTTATATGTATAGGTATAAAATTTTATCAAGTACATTTCTTCAATGATAATTGGATAGACTTTATTTTGTTAATTTGGTGCATTAGATTTCATTTTCCAAAGTGAAATCAGCTTGCATTTCTGGAATGAAGTCCTTACAGTGTAATTTTTTTATAAGTCTGGACGTGATTTGCTAACATTTGTTTAGTGTTTTTTGTGTCTGTTTATGAAAACATGCCTTGTAATTTTTCTTCTTGAAATATCTTTTCACGGTTTGATGGCCACATAAGTACTTGGAAATTGGTGTCCTTATTTTCTGTTTTCTAGAAGGTTACAGGTAATTTGCGTTAGGTATTATTTATTCCTAAGTGGTTTAAGCATGAGCACATTGAAAACTACCATCAGGAGATTTCTTAAGGAAAGATTTTAAATTATGGATCACAGTTTTTTAGTAGAGGAGTTTTCAGATTTCTTATTTCTTTTTAGTGGGGCTGAGGGTTGAACGCAGGGCTGTGCCTATGCTAAGCAATTGCTTAACTGCTGGGCTATATTTTAACCCCTCAAATTTTCCAGTTAAAAATGTTTTTTTATTATTTTTTATTTATATGTATGAGTGTTGCTTGCGTATATGTAGGTGCACCCATCCATGTTGTGCAGTACTCACAGAAGTCAGAAGAGGGCGTCAGATCTCTAGAACTGGAGTTACAAACAGTTGTTAGCCACCGTATGGGTGCTGGAAACTGAACCCAAGTCTTCTGCAAGAGCAGCCAGTGCTCTCAAACACCGAGTTATTGCTCCACCCCCAAATTTTCTATTTTTCTGTCAGTTTCCATATGCTGTATTTTTCAAATACCTTGTCTGTTTCATCTAAATTATCAACTGTATTGTATAAAGTTGAACTCAGTGTCTTCCTGTTGTCTCCTTCATGCCTGTTAGGTCAGTAGTGATTGCTGTCCCCCATCCTTAGTTGTCTAAATTTGACTGTTCGGTATCTTTTTATTCCTGTTAAGGGTTGTCAGTTATTAATCATCTTAAAGAGCCAGTATTTGACTTTCTTAAAACTATAAATTATCCTGCAAGTATAGCTTAAATTGCATTTCACTTTTTTTCTTTCTTTTTTGAGTTGGGATCTTGCTGTATAGCTTAGTCTGTCCTAATTCTCATGTTCCCCCAGCCTTTGTCTTCTGACAGTTATACCCTCACACCACTCTGCTGGCTTTTAACATATTTTGATGTTGCATTTTAACTATCATTCAGTAGAATTTATTTCTGGTTTCACTGAGCTTGCTTCTTTGACTAATACTTTTCTGTTGGTGATTAGTTCTATTGTGCTCAGAAGACATGCTCCATGTGTTCGCAGGGTTTTGTTTGTTGATTTGCCTTTTTTTGGTCTTCTGTGAATTAACTAAGAAAAGTGTATTAAAATCTGACTTTCTATGGGTTATTCTGTTTTAGGCCTGTCAACTTTTGCTTTACAAATCTTTGAAGCTGTATTAGGAAGTATGGACAAAGTTCTAATCGTTAATCATTATTGTTGAACTTACCCTTTTGTCATAATAAAGCATCCATCGCTCCTTTTCTTTTGGCCCTGTGCTTCTAAGTGCTCTGCTGCTGAGCTGTATCCCAGCCCTCTATAAGTCATCATTAGCTGTTATTTTGGATGTAAATATTAATTTGTTCATTCATATATTTACCTTTGGGTCTGCCCAAAATCTGCCAACTGTATGCTTCTGTGTAGGGCCCTCCCTCCCTTCCAAGATTTATTTATTTTTATTTTCTGTGTATAGAGTATTTGCCTGCTTGTGTATGCCTGTTGCCCAGAGACCAGAATTGGGCATTGGATTCCCCTGGAACTGGAGTTAAGGACAGTTGTTAGCCACCATGTGGATGCTGGAAGTCGAACCTGGGTCTCTTGCAAGAGCACCAAAATTCTCTTAACTGCTGAGCCATCTCTCCAGCCCCAGCTTTAGAAAATTCTTAACCACTAGTCTCCAAATGCTATTTTTTTTTCTGTATCTGCTAACTCTAGTTAGGTTTGTGTTGGGCTTTTCTCCAAGCTTAATATTATTTGTGTTTTCTTTTTCTGTGCTAGGACTTGAACCCAGAGCCCTGTGCGTGTTAGATAAGCATTCTGCCGTGAATTATCTCCCTAGCCTTTTTGCATTCTTTTGTTGGTTTGTATTTATTCTCTTTTACATTGCTGTATTATATTTCTGTAAATTTCCTTTCCAGCCGATTGTTTGTTTGCTTGTTTATTTGTTTGAGACAAGATCTGGCTACGTAGCATGGCTGGCCTGGCGCTACTTGTGTTTAGATCAGTCTGGCCTTGAACTCAGAGGGATCCAGTTACCTTAGCCTCCTGATGCTGGGATTAAAGGTTTGTGCCACCATTCCTGGCTTCCAGACTTTTTTTAAAAATATTGATTTTTTTTTTTTTTTTTTTAAATTTCAGTGATTGTATTTTTGTATTTTCTAGTTCAGCAATTTATTTCTGGCTCCCTTATAAGAATTCTAGAATTGTACTAAAATTTTCATCTTTTCTGTCCATTTTTTTTTTCTTTTGAAAATAGGAGTTACATAAAGATTTCTGACAAACTTAAGTTTGAATGATTTGCTTTTAAAGTTATTGGGTTAGGGAGATGGCTCAGAGGGCTAAAGCACTTGGTGCCAATCCTGACAACCTGAGTTTGATCCCCAGGACCCACATGGTAGAACGGGAAAACCAGTTTATAGTAGTTGTCCACACATACATACATACACGAACACACTGGCTAACACACACACAGTAAAAATAAATTTAAAAACACAAATATACAGTAAAAATAAAAGTTAAATAAAAATTAAAAGTTTATTCAGTTATTATTTCTCCTGTTTGTCCCATCTTTTTTTATATTGAGAGAAATTTCGTATGACAGTCATCGTTTTAACCATTGTAAAGCACATGGCTTATTGATCTTCTAGTGTATTCATAGATATGAAGCCATCACCATTACAACACCTTTGTGTTACTACTGCTGTCCCATTGTTAGCTGCTTATTCTTTTCAAAATTCCCTGTAATTTTTAGCAGAATACTAGACACTGTGGATGAACAATTACAGAAGCTCAAGTTCACATTATTTTCTTCCAAAGAGAGTTGTTTTCCTTTGGAATTGAAATACCAGGAGGTCACTTTGGCTTTAATGAGGGTTAAAGTAAGATTTGCCAAGGGTAATCTATTTAAGTTTGACCTAGGTCTGAGAGACTTTTGTGCAGTCTCCAGAGAGAGAGTGAGTCCTGATGACCGTCCCTCTAACTTAGGTTGCACACTGCAGTCTGTCTGCCCCAGCAGGCAGTAGACTGTAGGCTGATCAACTCTTGTTTCTAGCTGCGGTTTTTAGTGTCATTGGCGTCTCTCTTTGTAGTATTTCCTCTGTGGATCTTTTTAATCTAATTTTCTCTTTTCTGGCAGTCAAAAACTCTTTCTTCTTGGTCCGAAGGACTCCAGCTTTCTGGTGGGACCCACTCACCCTGTACAGAATACATACTGCTAATCTTGGAGCTGACCTGTATTTCAGCCTTCTTTCTAGAGGTGTAGCCCATTGCAAGTCAGCTTTTATTGTCTTCAGAGCTTTTTGCATTTTGTCAGCACCTTATGAATTTTATTATGGGGGGGAGGTTCATTTGATATATATTATCCCATCATAATAATAGTGATTAAAGATGTTTCTTATGTTGAATTATAGTTAACCATATTTGAAGGATGATTTTATATATATACACATATAATTAAAAGTAAGATATGTGACAGTCGCTATTTGATACGTATATTTTAATGGAACTGAATTATTAAGTGTGTAAAGATAAAGGTTGGATGAAGTGAAGATGGGCATTTAAAATTCTGGTTTGGTAACGAAATTCAAAGCTGTGGTTTTCAGATGGGTGCTGCTAGAAATCAGTTATTTCTGTAACTGTTAGTTCATGTTCATTCATTACATGATGGGAGGTTTGAGTATTTAAATGTGTTGGCTAAAGAGCAATGCATATCTGTTAACTGTGCCAGAGAGAGTTGTTTTCACACAATCTGGAAAGCTACGTAGTAACCAGTTAGAGATGAACAAATGGGAGAAGTGACTGGACTGGACATTACAGTCAGATTTGGAAGGGGCAGGAGAGCAGAAGGAGCTGTGTGGAGACCAGTGCCTTCTTAGCTGTGTGCTCAAAACAAGGGTTTGGAGAGACCCTCGCCATTTGCCTTTCCCACCAGAATCCCTCCGAGAAGGGAGCCAGGTGTTGCAGACCATCTTGTGTCTATGTTTTTTCTTTTTGCCCTTTTGTGAACTCTCAAGGTTAGTCAGTGGTTTTCTTCAAAATTTCATTAGGAAATTTGCCAAAGGCATCCTTTAGAGGCAGCTGTCTGTGTGCCCTTGGAGGCCATCAGTAATGTTTCCAATCTATAGCAGCAGTCCGCACAAAAAATGTTGGTGGGAAATATTGTCTTGTGTTTAAAGCATTCTTTCACCACCGTCACATCCCCAGACCTAAACAGTACAAAATATGTCATACTTTGAGACTTTTGCTCCTTTTGTATATTTTTGGTTATCTCTTTTGTGGGTGAAAATCTATCACTACTAATTACATCCAAATAGATTAATGATGGAAAGGACACTGTTTTTTAATGTAACTTAAAGAGCAACAGTAGACTCATTAGCAAGCATAAATAAATAAATGATAATTTTGTTGTAGACTGTTAACAGATTTTATTTTCACTAGTGAGATTTTATAAGTTCAAATATACTGTAATTATGGTCTGTTTTCTAATTTGCTCAGATGCTGTATTCATACCAACCTCCTTGTGAAGTTATGGGGATATTAAAGAATGATATTAATAAGCCCATTGTTAAAATGCATTAGAAGAAATTGAAATTCATTGGTTGTTTTGTTTGTCTCCAATTCAATAATATAGGCAAATGCTATTCTATATGCATCGCTCATATATCAGTCTAGCTGTTTCTCTTGTTTTACTAAACTGTCTTCTTTCAGCCACCCACACAGAATATGCCTATGGGTCCTGGAGGGATGAATCAGAGCGGCCCTCCCCCACCTCCACGCTCTCACAACATGCCTTCAGATGGAATGGTAGGTGGGGGTCCTCCTGCACCACACATGCAGAACCAGATGAACGGCCAGATGCCTGGTAAGTTTTTCTCCTCTAAGACATTAACACCAGAGTTGCTTAGCAACTGAAACGACATGAGGGCTCAAGGGATACTAGATTGTTGATGACAAAACTGCTTTGAATGCCCCCGAGTCCAAGCTCTCTTCGAGTTTGTTAGCTACAGAGCTACGTGACCTGTATTCAGTGTTTATCAGGCTGCCCTTGGGCTTTGATGTAGCTGACACACAGCATTCCTCTGATGAACAGAACTGGCTAAATTTAGTCTGTCTGAAACTATGCAATACAGTTGGCTTTAGAAGCTTTTTGGGGGAAAAGGGATTGTGCCATGGCTTAAGAATTAAAATGTATTCGTGAAAAAGTCTATGACATTTCTCCAAGTCTTTTTATTTACCTAAATATGTGTTGATTTCAGAACAGGAACACTGGGAAGAGTTCCTGGGGACAGGAACAGAATAGAATAGTCTCCAGAGTGCTGGTGTGTTTAATATTTCCACATAGATATTATTGAAACTGCGTCTAGACTTTTATTAGTACATATGTTTATAGCATAACATTAATATGGAAATGACTTATAAGCAAAATTAAAAGCTGAAACTAATGTAAGCTGTCTTACACACTGAGCCATTTCCTTTTTCATTTTAACTTTAGAGTCAATATAATGGTAACTCTTAGGCCATTCGAATGCTTATTATGTTTTGTTGAAAAGTATCTTTAAACTTTTTTGTTTTTATAAAAGAAATAATCTATAACTAATTTTTGTTGCGTACTCTCTACTTTTTAATATGAAAACATTTTTTACTTTCTGAAGACAAAGCTTATTTTCATTGGCAAGAAATAAAGGAACACTATACAATTAGCAATAATAGAATGAATGGCAGTAACAAAACAATTTATTATTAACATGGGCAGTTGGCACGCATAGCATAGTCTCTTGTTCAGCTGGTTGTGTTGTTGGTTGTGTTGGTGTCCGAGGACGATGGATGTAGTAAAAGAAATAAAGGGGAAAGTACTGAGCAGAAGAGGCAAGATAGCCTGGTTTAGAAGATTGATTCAGGACTGATCATGCAGGAGGTAAATGGCGTTTCTGTGGCCATCTCCTCCTGCCTGTGAAGGCTCACACAGTGCTGGTATGAGTGTAAATGGCGTTTCCGTGGCCATCTCCTCCTGCCTGCGAAGGCTCACACAGTGCTGGCTCACACACAGTATGGAGGCAGGAATAAAGACAAACTACTTTTTAGTTTACAGTTAGGTTGTTGCCAGAAGAAAGCTGCTTGCCAAGTCCACATCTGGCTTTCCAGAACGTACTGCTTCAGAGCTGGGAGGACAAGTGCTAGGCAGATTAGCCAGTTAGGAGTTCCAGGACTGTTCTGCGGTAGTGCCTTTAATTAGAGTTTACTGGACTCTCCAAGTAACTTTGAAGTTTGTGACCAAGGAAACATTTGAGAGGCATACAATTATTGTTGACCTGACATTTTGGTTTCTTTGTAAACTCATGGAATAGATAATGTTCTTTAAAAATTTTTTTTTAAACATTTAAACAAATTTTATTTTATGTGTATGAGTGTTTTGCCTGTATTTATGTATGGGTACCATATGTGTGCCCGGTGCCCATGGAAGTCAGAAGAGGGCATTGGATCCCCTGGAACTAGAGTCGAAGTTGGTTCTAAGCTTCCATGTAGGTGCTGGGAACCAAAGTAAGAGCAACAGGTTCTCTTAACCACTGAGCCATCTCTCCAACACACACACACACACGCACACACACACTTCTTTTTTTTTTTTTTTGAGACAGGGTTTCAAATTGTTTTAAAACCAGTGCTGGAATTAAAGGCGTGCGCCACCACGCCCAGTGATATATTCCTTTTTTAATTAAAAAAAATTTTTTTTTTCTCTTTTTGAGACAAGGTCTCCCTGTAGCTGCAGCTGGCCTGGATTTGCTAATGGAATAGTTGAATAAGATGTCTTGGGATGTTCTGTGTGATATGCCTCCCAAGTGCTGGGTTAAATTTTTTAAAATGTATTTTATTTAGTGGGGGGGGGTGGTGGGGCGTGCTTGCGTGCCAGGGCACACTTGTGGTTGGACCCTGGCCAGAGACTGTTTCAGAGTTGGTTGTCTCCACCTTTCTGAGACATGGTCTCATGTTTCTGCTGTTGCTCTGTGTACTCCAGCCCAGCTGCCTATATGCTTCCCTTCTGTCTCTTTCCCTTCTTGCTATAGGAGTGTTGGGGTTGTGGACTGCACCCCTGCATCCAGCTTTTTTATGTAAGTTCCGTTTATTGAACTCAGATCGTTAGGCTTGTGCACCAGCCAGCACTCTTATCTGTTGAGCCATCTCTCCTGCTCCTGTAAATATGTTTTTATAAACCAAAGATTATCTGCTGGTTATGACCAAGATTGTCCAAAATACTATACAACTTCTAAAACAATAATACTAAAGTTAGTGTAAAAGAACTTGAAAAACCAGTAACTTCTATTTTCATTTACTTTTTCCTTAAAGCATCCAGCCAGACTTTTTAATACCTACAAATTTGTAGCTAAGTTCTTAATTTCCTACTTTAGTTTTAATATTTCATTTTATAATCTTAAGTTGCAAATCTACTGATGTTGCTTGGTCCTTTCTTCTTGGTCACCACTCCTTCTTGGTCCTTTCTTAGTCATGACCCCTTCATCAGTAGGAATTTTCTTTCCCTTTTTTTTTTGGTTAAACCTAGAAAATAGACAAACCAAAAATCAAAAGACATGGAAGAGTCTTTCTCTCTGCTCTCCAGATGCTTATTTCTGGAGAGGCATGACTTTCCTTCAAGACAGAAACTTCCTTTAAGAAAAAAAGAAAAAGCATGTGCGTTTCTGTTTTTCTCTATTCCTTCAAGAGAGAACGCACTCGCTGGCCAGCACCCTTTAAGTACACTTTCTTCCTCCTCATAAAGATTAATGCTGGAGACCATCGTTCCATCAGTGCATGGAGAGCTGCCTCATTCTTTTTGGTGGCTGTCACATACTTATTTATGGATGCACTTTGTATGAGCAGTTCCCTCTTGATGGTAATAAAGGCTTCTAGTATTTTGGTATGCCTACAGAACATTTATTTTTGTATTTGTCTATACTTGTATTCCAAAACTTTTATATCGGTAGAATTAATTTCTAGAACCTAAATTGTTGAGTTAAAAGTACATTTGGGGCTGGAGAGTTGGCTCAGCGGTTAGGAGCACTGACTGTTCTTGCAGAGGACCTGGGTTCGATTCCCAGCACCTACATGGTGGCTATGAACTGTCCTTAACTCCAGTTTCAGGGGAATCCGAAGCCGTCTTCTGACCTCTGCAGCATTGCACGACACAGGTGAATTCACATACATGCAGGCAATATACTCGTACACATAAAATAAAAATAATAAATAAAATATTAAGAAAAAAAAAGTACATTTAGGCTGACCACTGTGATACATGCCTGTAATCCCAACACTTTAGAGGTAGAGGCAGAAGGATCAGGTGTTCAAGGTCATCCTCTGCTCCAAAGTGAATTTGGGGACAGTCTGAGCTGCCATGTTCTCTGTCAAAAAAGCAAAATAAAACCAGAAAGTACCTTCTAAAATTTGCTAACCATTGCCAAATTGCTCTATGTAAAACCATGATTTGTGCTCTTTAAGCTTCTCCACTGTATGCTTAGATTGAGACGTAACTTTTGAGAATATGAAGGATGAGATGAGTCTTTTGCTTTTTCTTTCATTTTATTTTATTTTTGTTTATTGAGACTGGGTCTCACTATGTAGCCCTGGCTGGCCTGGAACTCCCTATTTGTAGAACAGGCTGGCCTCAACAGAGATCCACCTGCTTCCTGAGTGCTAGAATTAAAGGCACGTGCCACCACACGCAGCAAGTCTTACTGCTCTAATTTGCTTTCTGTTGGGAGGGAAGCAGTGGCCCCTTCCTTGTTTACTAGCTCACTGGAGTGTTTGTGCTCTTTCTCATTCATGCCCTTTGCCCATTTTTCTCCTGCTGGTCGGCTTTTAGCGTGCTCTGTGATATGTCTTATAATTTTTCCCAGTTTATCATTTGACTGTATACTTCCTTGTTTGTGGTTTTTGCTTTTTTTTTCCCTTCTTTTTTTGCTTTGTATGCATGTGTTCGTGTGTGTGTGCAGGTATGTGTGCACATGTGTACATGTGCATATAGAGGCCAGAGGTTGACATCTACTGTTCTCAGTTGTTCTCGGCCTTACTTATTTTTTATTTTTTGTTCTTTTGAGACAGGGTTTCCTTGTAGACTTAGCTGGACTGGAACTCACTCACTATGTAGATCAGGTTGGCCTTGATCTCACAGAGATCTGCCTTTCTCTGCCTCCCGAGTGCTGGGATGAAAGGCATATGCCCCCATATCCAGCTATCTTATTTATTTTCTTTTAATTTATTATTATTATTATTGGTCTTTTTGAGACAGGGTCTCCCTGTAGCCCCAGCTGACCTGGAACTCACTATGTAGACCAGGCTGGCCTCGAACTCACTGAGACCTGCCTGCCTCTGCCTCCCAAGTGCTGGGATTAAAGGCGTGCGCCACAATGCTTGGCTTCTTTTAATTTTTTAAATTGAATTTTTGCAGTTTTTAAACTATATGATTTGATGGTATTTAGATCCCTTCCCCTGCCCACACCTCCCCTTATTGCTCCCCACCCAATTTAATGTACTCGATTTTTTTTGTGTGTGTGTGTGTGTGTGTGTTTGAGACAGGGTCTCCCTGTAGCCCCAGCTGTCTTGGAACTCACTATGTAGACCAGGCTGGCCTTGAGCTCACCGAGATCTGCCTGCCTCTGCCTCCCAAGTGCTGGGACTACAGGTGCACCACCACGCCTGGCTAATTTACTCAATTATATATATATATATATACACACACACACATATATGATTTATAGTCCAATTTGTGTCCCCAAATGTCCTTCAGTGTGGGTCCATCCACTGGAGCTTGATTAACCTACTATGAGTCACATCCTTGAAAGAGATTGTCTCTCCCCCTCCCAACAGCCATTGGTTGAGAACATTGCCAAATTTCCTTAGGTACAGTTGAGGTTTCTTCCCTACTTCCGTATGTCTGTGCTGGGGTTTTGTCTGGTTCTAGTTTTCATGGGATTTGTGCATGTCAGTGTTGCTGTGAGTTCATATGAGTAACTGGCCAGCTGTCTGGAGAACTCTTATTTCCTTGTGGTCAACCACCACCTCTGGCTTTTACAGTCTTTCTTCTGTCCCCTATTCTGCAATGATCCCTGACCCTTGGGAGGCAGAAGTTTGATACAGGTGTCCTATTCAGGGATAAGTGCTCTGCAGCCTCTTGTTTTCTGCACATTGGTCAGTTTTGTGGGTTTCTGTTAATCACCATCTGCTGCATAAGGGAGAGCTGAGAGATGCATGAATCTATGGGCATAACAATAAATCATAAGGAGTCAGTTTAATACTTTAACTATTTAGCAGAAAACTAGCATTAGACTCTCCCCCATGCCCTGTGACCTGGCTAGGCTCAGGTTCCTAGGTCTGATATCAGTGTCAGGTATGGGCTCCATCCTATGAAGTGGACCTTAAATCCAATTAGGAAGTGTTTGGTTACTCCCATAATCCTCATGCCACTAGTGCACTGGTGGGCAATCTCGCAAGGCCAGTTCTTTTTTTTTTCATTTTTATTTTAGGTGTATGAGTGTATTGCTTGCATGGGAGTGCACCCGGCTCATGCAATGCTGCGGAGTTCAGAATAGGCCGTTGAATTCCCTGGAACTGGAGTTAAGGATGGTTCGTGGCTGCCATGTGGGCGCTGGGAATCGAACCTGGGTCCTCTGCAAGAGCAGTCAGTGGTCTTAACCTCTGAGCTATCTCTCCAGCCCTGCAAGGCCAGTTCTTATAGTTCGCAGAATTCACAGCTGGGTAGGGTTGATGATTATTTTTTCCTTCTGGTAGCATGCATAGAACCTTCCAGCCTTATGGAAGATAGCCAGCAGTGATAAAGCTTTGAATTGAAAAACGGAACACCAAGCACTACCTTATTTCTTGAGACAGGTTCTCTCGTTGAACCTGGAGCTCACTGATTTGACTAGACTAGCTGGCCAGCAAGCCCAGGGGCTCTCCTGTCTGTGCGTACAGGTATGTGCTGTCTCACCCAGCTTTCACATGGGTGCTGGGGGTCCAAACCCAGGTCCTCAGCTTACATGGTAAGCACTTTACCAGCTGAGACATTTCCCAGCCTTTATTTTAGGGTTTTGTTTTGTTTTATTGTGTTCATTGTTCTTTTTATTTTAATGGAGGTAAATATATAAATTTTTAGGTCTGGGCTTTCTAGCACACTTTGGGAGCCGCTCCCCTTTAATATTATTTTGAATGTTCTCTTTGTAATTGACTTTTATGGTTTGTTTTACTTTCAATGTTTTACATGTTTTATACATAGGAAGTTTTTAGTGGAAGGACTGAGGCAGGGATCCAGCTGAGTTTTTTCCGGGGTGACTGTGGGAGCTCAGTGTTACCATGTTGTCATTTGCCCTGTGTACTCTTCTCCATTGATCTGCTCATCTAGTCATCTGAAGCCAGTTCTTTCCTTTCCTTTTGATTAAAATATTCAAATTGTTGCTTAGGCTATTATTACATTAATAAACAAGAAAACTTCTATATGTACTTGTGTATAATGCCTTTTTTTAATGCTTGTATCTTGGTTCTGACCACTTTTCTTTGAAGGGCCTAACCACATGCCAATGCAGGGACCTGGACCCAGTCAACTCAGTATGACCAACAGTTCCATGAACATGCCTTCAAGTAGCCATGGGTCCATGGGAGGCTACAACCATTCTGTGCCATCTTCCCAGAGCATGCCGGTGCAGAACCAGATGACCATGAGTCAAGGGCAACCAATGGGGAACTATGGTCCCAGACCAAACATGAATATGCAACCAAACCAAGGTAACTGGCTTTATGTCTTTTCTTTAAGGGAATGCTTTTAGAAATTGATTTTACTGTGGAGCCTGCACTGACCTCGAACTTGCAGTAATTCTGCCTCCATGCTGGGTTTACAAGTATGGGCCATGACATCCAGTTTTTCACATTCTTCTTGACCAGAGTGGGATGGTAGGTAGCATTTTTGGTCTGGTTGATGTTTTAAGACAAAGTCTCTGTAAGTTTGAAGTGAGTCACATTTGTGTTTGTGAACAAACAACATTGTTTTTGAAGCTAGCTTAAATCTTTTTGTGTTTAGAAATTAAATTGCTCAATTTAGCTTTGTCTTTTTGCTATGTAGTTTGTTTTGTTTTGTTTTGTTTTGTTTTGTTTTGTGAGTCAGGGTCTCCTGTAGCCCCAGCTGGCCTGGAATTCACTTTGTAGACCAGGCTGGCCTTGAACTCACAGAGATCCACCTGCCTCTGCCTCCCAAGTGCTGGGACTAAAGGCCTGTGCCACCATGCCTGGTTCAATTTAGCTTTTAAGGTTTTATTTTTATTTGCCTTTTGGCCATGTAAATGAATTCTATGTTGTTTGTGATGCTGATCACTAAGTCAACATTTTGTTTATGGTTAGAACACTGAGGGAGTACAGTTTTGTCTTTGTAACACATACTGTCTTAAAACTGAGACAGATGCGTCACAATTTGGTTTTGACCTTGGTGAGTGCTCTGTGATGCCATGTTTGAGTCCTGAAAGGCGCTTCTGATTTGCTGCTAGAGTGTTCTGTTGAAGCGCTGCCATGTTCTAGCATGGTGGAGTGCTTCAGGGGCCTTACAGTTGATTACCAATCTCAGAAAGTGAAATTGTTACCTTGTTTCTCTTTTAAGTATCCTGTGAGTAATAACTAAAAACCAGTAAGTGGCTCTCTGGTTCTGCTAATTGCATGTTAAGACATTTGGCATATTGCCAGCTTAAAGCTGTTTCACTTACAAAATGTGGTGTAGTTAAAAGGATACGGTAGAATTAAATATACTTGTAATAAAGCTTTGGATTTTGATTATAAAATTCAGATCACTAAAATGTACTCAGATAAAAGAAGTTGGGTTTCTGTTGAAAATTACTGATGATGAAATACTATAATTTCAAAATACTAATTCAGATTTTAAAAATAATTTTGGTTAGACATGCTGAAGTCTGGAGCCTGTTGGATAAAAGACTTACCTAGCATGGTGAAAGTTTTATTAAATTTTATTGTCCAGCGCATGCCTTTAATGCAGAGGCAGGTGGATCCCTGTGGGTTCAAGGCCAGCCTGGTCTACATAGTGAGTTCAGGATAGCTGGGCTACAGGGAGACCCTGTCTCAAAAAGACCAAAAAAGGGGCTGGAGAGATGTCTCAGTGGTTAAGAGCACTGACTGCTATAGCAGAGGACTCGGGTTCAATTCCCAGCACCCACATGGTGGCTATGAACCGTCCTTAACTCCAGTTCCAGGGGAATCTAAAGCCCTCTTCTGACTTCTGTGACATTGCATGACACAGGTGCACTCACATACATGAAAACAATATACTCATACACATAAAAATAATAAGTAAAATATATATTTTTTTGTCTTTTTGAGACAGGATCTCCCTGTAGCCCCAGCTGTCCTGGAACTCACTATGTAGACCAGGCTGGCCTCGAACTCACAAAGATCCGCCTGCCTCTGCCTCCCGAGTGCTAGGATTAAAGGCGTGCGCCACCACACCTGGCAATAACAAAAATATTTTTTACAAGAGAAACTACATTAAAAAAAAAGTCTAAAAATTTCTAAAAATGGAAAGGGAAACATTTTTGTCTTTTACATTTCCTTACAGCCGGGAAAATAGCTCAGAGGTAGAGCACTAGCCTTCCACACCCAAGTGCAGGATTCAATTCTCATCCCCCTGGGGGAAAAAAAATCTCATGTTTAATAAGGTAATAATTTTTTGAATTAAAATATCAGAATCTTTAGAATAACCCCATGTTTCCATATGTTTCTCTCTGTATCAAGAAACACTAGAAAAATGTTAAAAGCACTTTTGTTTTCTCTTGAAGAGTTGTATTTTGTTTTGAGATATGGTCTCACTGTGTAATCCAGATTGGCCTGAAGTTTGTAACCCTCTTTTTTAAAGATTAATTATTTGTGCTGGGGCTACAGGGAGACCCTGTCTCAAAAAGACCAAAAAAAAAATTTTTTTTTGTTTTTATTTGATGTGTGTGTGTGTTATGCATGTGTATAAGTGCACCCGTGTCGTGAAATGCGTAGAGGTCAGAAGAGGGTGTTGGATCCCCTGGAACTGGAATTATGGATGGTTGTTAGCTGCCAGTGGGTGCTAGGATTTGAACTCAGGTCTTCTGCAAGAGCAGTCAGTGCTTTTAACTGCTGAGCCATCTCTCTAGCCCCAAGTTTATAACTTTCTTTCCTCAGCTGGAGTTATAGTTCGAAGCTACCATTTTTTTTCTAATGTATTTTTGAGTAGGGAAAATCAATATTGGTGAAATTCTTAGATTAAACCTGTGTTTAGGATTATAAATGTAGCTCCCTGGTAGGGTAAATGCTTTGCGTTTGGGAAAAGAAATCTATGTTAAGTGACCAAACAAAATGCATAATTGTTATGTTGTTTTAATTAATATGTTAGTGTTTTATGATATTTTTCAAACTTTGATTATGTAGTAGTTTTCCTGTATTATTATTTTTTTCCCTTTTTTCTTGCTGGAGGGTAAAGCCACGGATTGATATGTACTATATAAGTTTCTAACACTAAGCTGCATCCCCAGCCCCCAGTGACAGTAGTTTTCTAAACAGAAACATTGCAGGACAAATCTAGGTACGTTCATTCTAGTAACTTCGAAGTTCATTTTTTCCCCCACTCCTTTTGTAAATTAATGTTAGCATTCTCTCTGTCACCCTTCCCACTTCTCTCTCTCACCTTTGAATGTGAAATTAATGGGAAAAACGCCTTCAAAATCTTTTTATTATAATTTTAGTAGTCCATGTGAAATAGTGTAGATCTTTAAAAAATTTTTTTATTGAATGTTTGTGTATTTCATACATAAATCATCTTCATACCTCTTTCCCCTTTGCCTTTGGTGTGCTCCCTTAGTGCCCCTCCCCCCGAATTCATACATTCTCTCATTTGTATTAAGGCCTATTATGTAAAGTTAGTGTCCCAAGTTGTCCCTCAGTGCAAGTTTATCCACTGGTGTTTAGTCAGCCTATCTAGATAGAGTCTTTCTTCAAGAAACTCATCTCTTCCTCACCTAGCAGTAGTCAGCTGCCAATAATTCTTCAACTAAGATTGGGGCTTGCTGTTCAGTTCATTTCCACAGTTCTGTGCTGGGTTTTTGTCTTGTCTAAATTTACATGGGTTTTCTGCATGCTGACACCTTTGCTGTAGGTTTATATGAGAAGGGTCCCAGGTGCCTGTAGGACTATTTCCATATGGTCATGCACCTCCTCCTTGGCTCTTAAAATCTTTCCACCCCCTCTTTTGCAATGGTCCCTGAGCCCTGGGTGGGTGAACCTCAATATAGGAGTCCTGTCCAAGAACCCACACTCTGCTGACTCGTATTCTCTGCATTTTGGCCATTTGTGGCCTTTGTGCTCCTGACTCTCTGTTGCATTGGGGAGCTTCATTGATGAGAATTGAAAGATACATTAGTGTTCTCTTCATCCCTTGTTCTATGTTCTTTGAGTCTTAGGTATAGAGGTTGCATTCTAGATGTTCCACTTAGGCTTGGGCAAATCACGGAGAATCTCTTGTTACCATTGCTGTAGCTGTAATAATCTGTCTGTTGAAAAAGAAGCTACTTTGATGGGTGGTGATTGGGATACTTGTTTATAAGGATTTGGTGCTAGGATCCACAAATGAAGGAGAACATACATGTTTTGTTTTTCTGAGTCTGTGTTACTTCACTTAGTATAACAGTTTCTAGATCCATCCATTTACCTACAGATTTCATTATTTCACCTTTCTTTATTGCAGATTAGAACTCCACTGTATAAATGTACTACATTTCCGTTAACCAATTGTCTGTTGAGGGGCACTTAGGTTGCTTCCATCTCTTAGCTGTTGTGAAAAGAGCAGCAACAAACATGGATGTATAAGTGTCTGTGCAATAGATGAGTCCTTTGGATATACGCCAAGGAGTGATATAACTTGGTCATATGGTAGGTTCAGTTTTAGTTTTTTAAGAGTTGTCCACACTGCTTCCCATAGGGGTTGGCATGAGTTTGCAATCCCACCAGCAGCAGTGAATGAGCATTCCCGTCTCCACATCCTCGGCCAGCATTTGGTATCATTTGTTCTCTTGATCCTAGCCAGTCTGACTGGGGTAAGGTGATACCTTAGGGTGATTTTAATTTACATTTCCCTAGTTACTAATGATGCTGAAATAATGTAGATATTTTATACATTTGTAGTTTTCATTTTGATTGTTTACAAAACAGAGAAATAGCCCGCTAAATTATACCAGTAGTGCAAGGTAATAGGCACACTTTATAGAAAGATCCTCGTTCTAGTGATAGAATTGTAGGATCTCCTTGGACTTCTTTTGTTCTTTCTTTAATTTTAGTTTTTTGTTTTTGTTTTTCTGTTTGTCTTTTTGAGACAGGGTTTCCTTGTAGCCTCAGCTATCCTGGAACTCACTCTGTAGACCAGGCTGGCCTCGAACTCATAGAGATCCCCCTGCCTTTAACCCCAGCACTCGGATCTGGCTGACCCCCTTCCTCCCTCAGAGCGTCTTATTTTGCTTTCAGTTCACTCGTATTCTCCTACTCTCTCTTAGAATGTCTTCCTTCTCTCTCACGATCCCTTCTCTATCTAGACTTCATAATTCTTTAAAAGCTGTACAGGGCTAGAGAGATGGCTCAGTGGTTAAGAGTACTGGCTACTCTTGCAGAGGACCTGGGTTCGATTCCCAGAACCCACATGATGACTAACAACTGTCTGTAACTCTACTTCCAAGGGATCTAACCACCCTCTTCTGATCTCTGCAGGCATTGCA